ATTTTTTTTTTTCCTTTTTTTTTTTTTTTTTTTTTGCCTCTCTTTGTTAAATGCATAAATGAAAGTAGCCAAGAAGATTGTTCCTCACAAATGGAAGCGGGTTATGGATTTGCTCAAGTTAATTGATTAATCCTTCGTTTTTGTCTCTCGCCTCTAGACATCTTAGATTAGAATTTATTGGAAGAACGTGAAAAATGAAGATGATGTTTTGATTGATGGGATCCAATCGGCCTACATCACCGAAAAATGAAACTGTTGAGTCAGAATTCATTTATTAAGATAGATGATTATTCTATCTTAAAATTATGACTTTTTTTATAATATAATTTATTATTTTCTTAATAAAAAATGTTGAAAAAGATAGAAAATTTTATAGCGAAAGTGCTTACAAATGAATAAATATATTAATATTTAGTGAAACCAAAATTATACATACAGAACTCTAGCAATACAATTTTAAGCCTAGAACCGACACCAATTTATAAATACAAAACAAGTAATTTTTTATTTCATTTTTTATTGAAAATTAAAGGACTTGAATACTTAATCATAATACTTTGCTTTCAGGTTGTGACTTCGGGCAGAAGGGTGCACCTAACGGGCAGCCTGTTGCTGTTGGGAGAATATGAAAAATAAATAATCCAAATTACACCATTTTAAAAAGTCTTGTTAAATAAAAAATAAAATAAGGCAAGAAGGTAAATATCCACCGACAGATGTCTTTAGGACCCACAAACCCAAGCGACGGTAAGATTTTTTTTACTAAGACCCGTTTGATTTCATTTTTTGGCCACAAAAATGAAAAATATGATCGTTATCCATCACATCATGTTACCGTATTTAACTTTTTATCTTTTGTGTGGATTTCGTAACGATCATATTTTTCATTTTCATTATTACAAAAATGGATACCAAACGAGACTTAAAACAAATATCAAATTGGACCCCACGCGTAAGAGACGAGAAAATTGTCGCTGTAATGTAAATGCAAAATGGACATCACATTGGTCGATGGTCTCTTTCTCTAATCACATGGCAGAACTTGTGTAACACGTGTTACAAGTGATGATAATGACAATAGTAAAAATTGGATTATAAAATAGAATTAAGGTCCGTTCCATAATGTTAAATTGCATGAAAAATTACACATCTGAAAAATTCGTTTTTTATATTGACTGTTTGATACGAAAGTAAAAATGAAATTCGAATTTCAAGATACAAACACTTAAAACATATTTTTGATTAATTGAGTGGAAATCGAATTTCTATGGATTTGCTGTTTTTTTTTTCCAATTTACATTGAATTGGTTTGCCTTTTCCAAAATTACAATCAAATGAACCCTAAGTTATTTTTACTTTCATTTTGTACATCTTGATTAATATTCACGATGTGTAAAAAATTTGGCCACTAATTTGAATAAGCGTTATTCAAATAAATGGTCGAATTGTCTACCACATCATAAAATGTCAACCAAATTGTAAGTGTAGCAAAATTGAATAAAATATGCGTACTATAATTTTGCAAATAGTAACTCATTGCATTACAAAAATTATTGTAAAAAATTAAAATAAAAAGAATAAAACATAATATTTTGAATAAAAAAAGTTTAAGCTTTTTAAGGATATTTATGAAGAGGAAATATCACCACACACTACACATTTAAAATTAATTTAGTTATTACATTTCCATTTTTTTTCACTAAATATACTGCACTTTTTATAGTATATTTGAAATTTGAAAAATACACTCATTTACATATATAACCCTTGTTTGTTTTTCATTATTTCCCTATTAAAATGAAAAATATGACCGTTATCCATCACATCAAGTCACGAAATTTGAATTTCTATCTCTTGTATTAGACCCATAACGACTATATTTTTCATTCTCACTTTTACAAAAATGAAAAACAAACGTCCCCATAATATACATGGGGATAAATTATGTGCAACAAACACGCCCCAATCGATGCCACAAAAGTCAAAACCCAGCTCCTCTTTCTCGAACAAATGCAAGAAATCATGGTCTTCAATGTCCAGTTGGAAGACTGAGTTTGGCTACAGGTTTTGCAGTACATCAAGATCTCTCACTTTTCTTCTACCCCACGTCTTGTCATTTTTCAGAGTTGAGCATTTGTTCTATGTTTCAGTTTTGGGACATAAAATTTCTCGACTTTCCGATATCAAGGCCAAATAATCTTGGAATCAATTAGATTCCTGTTGCTTACAATATGCATCTTTCTGGCATTGAAGTAAGCTCTTCGGTTTAATATGTAATGGTGGCGGTGGCGCAGACCTGTGATGATGAAGATCACGAATGCATTTGTACTGGGCTTTAATCTATTTTCAGTAATGCTATTCGAACATTCCTTTGCACAGATGTTGAACAGGTAATAAAAAATTAATAAACAATGAGGACACGTGGTTGGAAGGGAAATAAGGAAAAAAAACCCCAATCTGATAATAAATGGAAGAAACACGTTATCTCCAAATTAAAATTGACTCATTATCCCCAACCCAAATTGAAATTGGCTCATTTCTGTACTTCAGTCGATGAGGTCGGGACTTTGAAGTTCGACACCGGCGAACCTCCCGTGTGAGTCTTAGCTCATTGTCCCTAAAATCAAAGAAAACGGTGGAGGTTGGCAAGCATTTTCTCTACTTCCAGTCAGTGAGGTCGGAACTTCGACACCGGCGCATGTTTCAATATCAAATTCATCTCCCCGACGAAGAAGAGGTTCAGATTTCGATGAACATGAACATGACAATTCGCAAGGGCAAAGCAACCGTGGAGAAGAATGACAAATGAAAGTGGCCGGCTGCATTAGTAGCCCCATTTTTTAATTAACGTTGATGTTATGTATGCTTGCATTTCTTGTTCAAATTTCATGTTATTTAGTGATGTCAATGACGTAGTTGTTCAATATCTAGAGAGTACGAATATCGTGTTGATTTTGGGGTGACACTCAAATTCGACATAAATATACAAAATGTTTTGAAGTGGCACTGTGTACGCGGTCCATTCATTACCATGAGAAATATCAAACAACATTTGAATATTGTACCAAATGAACACATTCAACAAGTAGACATCAAGTAATGCAATTAAAGTATGTTACTGCTTCAAATTGTGCATGTGGTCGAATTTACTCAATTGGGATCTTTATAATTATTTACAAATTAACTTTTTCACTACAATTTAATAAAAACTTTTTGATTCATTTTGATGCACATTTTCAGTACAATATCACATGAATATATTCTCATATCCATTCAAACCATTTGCAAGGACTTCAGTGTGTGTCACGGAAACAATGTCTCCGTGACACACTGCCCCGGAGCAGTGTGTCATGGAGAAAGTGCCTCCGTGACACACTGTCACGGAGAGTGTGTCTCCGTGACACACTTGAGTGACACACATGTGTCACGCAAGTGTGTCACGGAGACACTTACACACGTTTTTTTTCCATTTTTTCTGTTTTATTGTTGTTAGAGGGTGTGGTTTTGTAAACAAAAATAAAAATATAATCTACGATCAATTGTATACTTTTTTAAGTTCGTCTTCTATATTGGGTATGTCCCTTAAAATGAAGAACATATCTGTTGGAAGTAACTGTCAAAACGAACAGATGTACCCATTCAAAAAATTTTGAAAATAAAATTCTCTTTCGAGGGCGTTGCCCCCGAGCCCCCACGAGGGACGCTGCCCTCTCGACCCCCACGACCTGACCGGGTAGGTCGATCCCCGTTGCGCAGCGATAAACATTAGTCGAGGCGGCAAATCATTGAGAAGTTTTGAAAATGTTTATAGATAGTTTGGTGTAAAATTTCAATTTGCAGATTGCAATGCATATAATCCTGAGAAGTTTTGATCTTTCAGTTTCTACCTCTTTCTATTTAGGCGTTTTCAAAATGCGCGGGACAGTCCAGGCATCTATTGCTCAGATCATTAACTAACACGTTCAACACAAATGTACAGCCATACAAAATGTAAGCAAAACACAGGTCTTGAAATTTGTTTACTTAAAATCACGCAAGTTTCTTATCAAACCAATTCTTATTTCTACAGGCACGAAATAGCAAGTTTTGGTTCTGCATATTATTCTACCTGGCCAAAACCAAATAGTCCACTATGGACATGCATAAAATTTTTCCTCAATTGATAAAACTTAAGAGGCAAAAGATTTTCTCTGAATTTTTTATACTAATGTTGGGACGCCTGAAGTTCTTGTGTACCAATTGGAGTAGCACTCTAACTCGAATTTGGTCTCTTTCCTTTGCTTGATGTCGATGTTGCCTGCATATCAAAGCAAGCATATGAGGAATTGTTGTAACAATCTGAAAAATTTTGAAGATGACATTTAACAGTGGGTCACTTGGGTTTGACGGTGTCGGCGAAGAGATGCTGTTCGGAGGTGCTACCGGATTCGAAGAACTAGCCGACGGGAATGAAGGCCCGGGAGAGAGGGGAATGAGGGAAAATGCGGAGGGAAAATACTGACTTCCAATTTGGGGGAGGAAAGGTTGTACCAGTGGTCTGCCAAATTTGTCCCCTTTTCAAACAATTTCTACTGTTCATTGATGTGCCCATTATTAATTTTTTATTACCTGCTCATAATCTGTGCAAAGGATGTTGTTCGAATAGCATTATTGAGGTGGAATGATTCGTTGAAGAGCTTCTTTGATTTTGGTTCTCATTATTTTTTCATAATAAAAAATATAATTGTTATCCATGACTTCAAACCATCAAATTTGAATTTTTATCTCTTGTTTGGGATCCATAACAACTATATTTTTTATTCTCATTTTTCCAAAAATGAGAAACTAACAATCTCAATAAATAGAAGAAAATGTTAAGTTATTTAGGTTTAGGCCAGTCAATCAAGAATTAATAATGTCCCACGCCATTTCTTCAAAATGCAAAATTAAAATACAATGAATGAATCAAGATATGTCCACCCTATTTATTCAAGATAATTAAAATCTAACGTTATATTTTAATTTTAAACTTAAATTTTATTGAATTTAATTTCATATTTTATCTCTACCACAAAAAAATGATTTCGTTATTAACAGTAATTACTGAAATATGTTGCAGAAATTATTTTTTATTTTAATTACTCGCATAATGCAACGATACGTTAAATAAAACTGTTATTTTACGTGATTCAAAAAAGAAAAAAAGAGAAAAAAAAAAAAAAAACTGCTATATTATTATGTGATTAGTTAGTTTTTAGAAAATAGAAACAGTCGGTCTGATTCGCTAATTAGTGATGGCGCTCTATTTTATTTGAGTTAGTATATGCATTAAATCCTTCATTTTTCCGTTTTTGCTTTGTTGGATGGGTTCAAAATCTTGATCATGTGTCTTTATTCCCCCTTTCCCCCCGTCCTTTTCTGGTTACATTCATATGTAGAAGAACGCTAACAGAGTGGTGGAAATTCTCATATTTTTATTTACAAAAAGAAAAATTAATTGGTGATGAAATTTGAGGTGCAAGAAATTAAAGGGGTTATTTTTTGTTTATTTTATTTTATTTTTTTGAATATCTGACGTTGAGTAGTTCATCTGGAGCCAAGTTTTATTTCTTCCTAATTATTTGGTCGACCTGAAAGAGTGAATTAGCATTGCTTGAACAATACCTTTAGTGCATCTATGGTATGAATCAAAGTTTAATTTCTTTAATACTATCTAGTTTTTTGACTTCTTTACAAATTTGTTATAGCAAATGGAATATCATGGATAGATATAATTCTGGGGTTTTTTTTTTTTTGAAGTTATTATTTATTTGGTATTATGACTTAGCATAGTTACAATTTGCTTCATCCATAGTTAGGCTTTCTACTTGACAAAACAATGATTTCCTTCCATTAATCGAAGAAAATCTCTTCTTGCATTATGATTCAATTAATAAAGATCTTAGACCTTATCCTTGCAGTACTTGTTGATACATACTACTAGGAGAAACAAATTACTTCCATGTTTTCAAGAGTTTTGAGTTCAACCATGTACATTGAAGTATGGATAATAGATATCAGCGAAGCAGATGCCTTTAGCAGTCGTAGGTAGTTATAGTTTTGTATTTTTCCCACCTACCCATACTCAATATTTTCCACTGCAGTATGCTATGATTCGCTGACACGTGTGTCCGTCTCTCGATTTTTTAAAAATTATTGACACGATACGTTGATTAAATTCTTTAAAACTCTTCATTTATATAGTATAAATTTAATTTTATACTTGTTATTAATTTTTCTTGTTGAAATTTCTTAGTTAATAATAACTTTGAGCAAAAATATGTAATATTTTTTATAAAGAAAGAAAAAATGACCATGGTAGAGTGTCGGCATTCGACACGCGTATCCGACACCGACACCGACACATTGCTCTACTTGAATTGTCCATGCAACAAAGGTAGTATGTGAGGTTACTGCACGAAAGAACAGGGACTTGGCAATGGGCATTTTCCAAAAGAAATCTCTGTTTGAAGTGATATAATGGTGGTCGATATGGCTATACNGAAAGAACAGGGACTTGGCAATGGGCATTTTCCAAAAGAAATCTCTGTTTGAAGTGATATAATGGTGGTCGATATGGCTATACAGCATATTTGGATGTGTTTTTCTTGATTTTTATGCAATCATATTCCGTTTCCTTTCGGAGTGTGAAATGTAAAATACCAGTACTTTGATACATTCAGAAGAGTCCTTGCATCATAGCTCATCATTCGAGTATACGTCTAATATGTAATCATTGTCCTGGATGAACATTATCTGATTTTTCCACAATGTGATATTCTTTTTAAGATGAAGTTTCATATGTTTTGAATTTGCACGAAACAAAATGAACGAGCATGATGTGAATTGTTTGAAACTTTTCAATTAAAATAATGCTGCAATATCTGTCACTTCAGAATTCACACATCAGTGTTTGATATAAATTTCTCGATGTTCAAGTTTTCCTGATATATTTCATGTGTGAACAATAACAGTTTGGTAAGTTTTCTACCTCGTGCTTGCTTAAATACTGATGACTATCGTGTTTCATTTGACAAACATCTGGCATCTCAATAAAGATGCTAGATTCACCCGAGGAGTTGGAGAAAAGCCATGCCAATAGTGCGGATCTATTAACGGAAGGAAGTAACCACGTCATATTGGATATGCCTAACGAAGCAAGGTTACCTGAAATGAGTAATTTGGAGTCTCAATCAAAATCAAGAAAAAGGTTGCTAATGTGGTGGATCAAGGTCGCGATATTGTGTTTAGTTATAATAGGAATTCTTGCTATCTTCTTAAAATGGGGAGCGCCCTTTCTAATAGAGAAGGTATTTCAACCTTTGTGTTTTTGTCAGTACTTAAAGTTTTGTGCTGTTCCTGTGGCCAATCCTTATATTGGAAAGGACACTTTCTGGTTAATCTCTAATAATTTAGAGAATGGATTTGAAATGCTGGGTGACTGTATAGAGGAATTAAAAAATTCGAAGTCAATATGAAGTAATAGAATTATTTATTTATTTCCTTCTGACTTCTGTTCAATTTTGAGTGAGCAATGATCTTGTGATGTTGATATAATTATGGCATTGCACAATAAGGTACGTCTGTAGTGGATAATATATTCGCCAATATTTTCATATTGTTCGAAGAAACATGAGCATATTGCAAAAGTTTCCTAGTATCAGTGGAGGAATTCTGGACAGAGCTTATGATTGCTTTCAAACGTTATTCAATCTTTTAGTGCTGTGGTACTGTGAATCAGTCTTAAGAAGCCTGTTCCCAAGGATATGTCACAATGTTGTTATCATTTGTTAAAAAAAAATTTTGTCTTTACAAATTAAAATTGTATGATCTCTTAAACTGATCATTTTGATTAGGTTCTTTACCCGATCCTGCAACGGGCAACTGCATTGGATCGTCCAGTGCTTGCACTCATACTTGTAGCTGCTTTGACACTGTTTCCCGTGTTTCTAATTCCTTCCAGTCCTCTCTTGCTGCTATCTGGTATGATTTTTGGTTATGGGTTTGGTTTTGTCATAATCATGATTGGAACAACCTTTGGAATGACCCTGCCATTCTTGACTGGTTTACTCTTTCGTGATAGGATTCATGTAAGACACGACAGTTTACTTTTCTCTTTTCATGTTTCATAATCGTTTGCTGTCCCTCTTCTGTTTGCCATTTTACCTGTAGTCTCATTCACTTGTGCATCTGCAGCACTGGCTAAAGAGATGGCCTCAAAAGGCTGCTATGATTAAATTGGCTGGAGAAGGAAGTTGGTTCCATCAATTTAAAGTGGTTGCACTGTTTAGGATTTCGCCATTTCCATACACGATATTTAATTATGCTGTAGTAGTGACAAATATTCGATTTTGGCCCTATTTATGTGGATCGGTTACAGGAATGATACCAGAAGCCTTTGTTTACATCTATAGGTCATCTCTCTCTCTCTCTCTCTCT